ATAAAATTATGCTAAATTATTGAACTTCAAACTGCGAATTTTGAATTCAAATAAATATAAAAATCACAAACTCCTTCAGTTCAAAGCGCTAAGTCTAATCCACATAAAGACCATGCACCCGCCACTCGATAGATCTCAACCCTAACATTCGTGGATCAACTTCTTTTCCAAAAATATATATATATATATATATTGAGTTAATTTTTCAATGTAATAATTAATATAAAAAGAGGTACGATAGAGCATGATTTAAGCAACTATAGAAAAATAATAAAAGTCACATACATCCCATGCAGTTTTTACCAGAAGCAAATTTTCTAAGGCTTATAAAAATTACTATTGACCACTACTAAGTACAACCTATACTTCACATGGCAGTTACTATAATAACTTCCAAACACATTCATATTGTAAAATCCACATGACAAAGTTTCATCATGTGCTTTATTTGCTTATCATCCTATGATTAGCTACATGTGAAATGTAATGATTGGAATAACAGGGTACTGAAATTGACACCTTCGAATAGGATTGGCTAAAACTTTTACAACTGAAGTCTAACACGTCCAGACGCTGCTTTGTAATGAAAACAAGCTAGAAAAGGGTTTAATACCAATCATAGATGGCAGAACAAGCGCTAAAGTGCGAGGAAAAGTGTTAAAATTCTACTTCTTTTTTTAGAGGGCGCTTGTTTATAGTCTCTAACATATTTTGGGATTTTTTAAATTAGATTTATCTTCAAACTTCTATAAATAATGCAATTTGGTACAAAAGATTAAATGTTATGTTACTATTTACAAAAGTAAAATCTGAAACCAATAAAAGATAAGTTCTCTATAATTTTTTACAGGCTCATACAACGATACAATATGTTTGTAATAAAACAGTCATACCTAAAGCACTGTCTAGGCTTTTACGAAACTCAAACCCGTCAATTCAGAGCAAGCAATGAGTGTCGAGATTCATTATGTCACAAAATGAATTTCCATTGTTGTTCATGGCAATTTTGATTCTTTTAGGCACAACGAGATTCATCCAGGCTGTGATAAGACACCACGAGATTCGATACCTTACATACATTTCATCCAGGCTGTGATAAGACACCACGAGATTCGATATCTTACATACATTTCATCCAGGCTGTGATAAGACACTAAGAGATTCGATGCCTTACATACATTTCATCCAGGCTGTGATAAGACACCACGAGATTCGATACCTTACATACATTTCATCCAGGCTGTGATAAGACACCACGAGATTCGATACCTTACATACATTTCATCCAGGCTGTGATAAGACACCACGAGATTCGATACCTTACATACATTTCATCCAGGCTGTGATAAGACACTAAGAGATTCAATGCCTTACATACATTTCATCCAGGCTGTGATAAGACACCACGAGATTCGATGCCTTGCGTACCTTACATCAAGAATGTGATGAGAGGTTTGATTACAGCAGCCCCGTCGTGAAAATCAGCAGGATGGAGTTCTACTTATGTGTAAAGTAAATGTACTAGCCTTTACTCTTGAATTATATTAAAGTCTTGGGGAAGGTATTTAATATTAGACGTGTAGTTCTATTTAAAAGCATACAGCAGCGTTTATATAAGCTAAACATAGATTCAGTTTAATGGCTAGACCAATATTTCATTTGATCACGTTCAGTGGTATTTTGTTTCTTCAATATACACTGAGTAAATAGACACCTACTTTTTCGTCATTTAACTGATTTATGCTAACTAA